ATTTCCTCTGAGTCACAGCTCTGACACCACTGCAGCCATTTCCCCTAGTTCTCCCTTGCAGAGTTGGCAGTGTAGGAAGAGAGGAAAGACAGAGTAACTGTAGCTCACTGACTTTTTGACTGAACTAAGGTTCTTAAAGTCCTGTGTAGCTGGTAATACAGTTGTTATGTCCACCAGCAACCGTATTCTATCCCACAAACGACCTCTCGCTAATCAGGCCACAGCTATGGGTAATTCCAGCCAGCGCCAGCGTGCTGATCAATTATCCAACCACGAGACCACACTAATGACCGCACCCTCTACTTCCCGGGATATTTGTGCTCGGTATTAGTCTCTTTTCTAGGAGCTCCTACCTCGCCTTTCTTAACCGAGATATTCTATTCCTGACCGAACCTCTGGCCTTTGATACTTGACCTTCGTCCCTCGACTTCGACTTCGGCCCAGCGTCTTGAATAAGTAGCCATCAATTTCCTTTCCCTTCTACCCTTTTTCTCCGACCCTTCGAAACCCTCGGAATAACGCCCAGGATCCTTCCTCTCTCTCGTGGACACATCAGTCGTAACAACAGTTACTGAGAGCAGGCTTTGGGAGGAGGGCGTGGAGAGGAGAAACGGCTACTGCTGTGCAGCTTGGGGTGGTGCAAAAAGAGAAAGAGGTAAAGGGTCCCCTTTTATAGAGGGCAGGGAGAGGGAAAGTGTGCTTGAAAAAAAGGTAGAGCTCGGACTACTACCAGGGCAGAATGCCACTGCATTATATTTTTAACATATATAATGAATAAACACGTTGCAGTCCAAAAATATCTTTGCTCAATAATACATCACTATTTGAAAGCACATATAAAACAGCATTGAGGATTAATACATTTGAGAGTACTCAAGTTTTTAGGGATCATGATCTGAATTAAACATTAACATACTGTAATTCATTTCACCCACACCATGAAAAATGGATAAATACCCTAAACGAAATGTCAAGTTTAACGTCGACATTATGAAAAATAATATAAAAATTACTAGTGCAGAGATGATTAAAAGAAAGTGTCTGTAGGCTGAGATGAAACATTCTCAGGTATATTTCCTTTGTTTTATTATTCCTTTTTGAACAAACACTTCTCTGTCGCTGAGTGGGTTTTCTCTTGGTGTTTCCACTTTTCAGGCCAAAGACATGCTGTTTAAATTAATTGGTGCTCCTGAATTATTCCCAATATGTGTGTGTTCGTGCCCAGAGATAGACAGGAATCCTGTCCAGTGTGTATCCTGACAAGCACCTTGTGTCTGCTGGGTTGGCTTCATTTCACCACAACCCTGCAGTGAATTCAGCAGTTATTGAAATTGCATGGGAATTTTATATTTAAACTTCAAATACTTGAAATATAAGCAATAACACATGTTATTTCAGCAAAGCAAAGAAGCAGCTCACCTGAAATGAATCCTAGGAAATGAAGTTTCTTGAAACCTGAAGTTTTGGATTCAGATTTGGAGTAACATATGTTAATGCTTATATTTCAAGTATTACCCAAATGCAATAAGCAGTACATGCAAACATTCATCTTAATTTGTGCACCAATGCTTCAGGTATAAGAATGTTTAACTGATTTTATACACATTTCTGCTTTTTATTTAATTCAAGAATTTCTTAAAAATAGCACAATTGATTTATTAAATAATCAATCAGTGTATTTAATAAATACCATATTTTATTTTGCTGAATATAAATTCACATGCATGCTACAACCTAAGTGTGTTCATTAAACTATTAAACTATTTTTAAATACTGGTAATTTGTTTTAGATGCATCTAGATGAGTACAATTGGTAGGAGATTTATGAGGATAAAAACCTAGTTCTAGTAATTTGCATCTGAGCACAAACTACATTCTGTGCAAACAAATGCCATTCCTTCTCTGTATCTTTCATTGTGTATTGTTTTTTCAAGAAGATTGCTAAATTATACAATAACAGGATTCTAGCTTTAAAAGCTTTAGCCGTTTAGAGAGAGAAAAGCATTGTTTCCTTGTTTTGTTGGCATTGGCATTTGATAATGAGAACAGCATTGAATATACATATATGTACTAAACAGCGTTCACCCCTTCCAATTTTGTTGAGTTACAAATGATGTAGTGCCCACTTAAAGTGAAGAATCATATCAGAAAGAAGCAGGTCCTGACACCAGCTTCCTATCCAGCCCCAAAAGCCAAGAAATACCAAACATTACACTCTAGTGCTTATTTTATTCTTAAGAGCACATGGAATTGAGTAATAACCAGATGGCAACCTTAAAAAAGTTTATTCATCCCAATAAGAAACACAAAAGTTACAACACAAAATAGTTGCGACTTTAAATAGATTTTTTAAAAGTCTATGAGTTATCAGAACAAATATAGAAAAAAAACTTTCTACCCCTACAGCACGAAACAACTTTAAAAAATCAAAGGGGATCCTGCTTCCTATTAAATAAAGAATCTAGCCCAGGATTAAATGTATCTCACTAAAGGGATGCTATCAAGTAAATCGGAATCAGTTCCCCTATTCTAAACATTGCATCACTAACGAAGGAGCGAAGTCTATAGCCTGTGGATTCCACAACATAGAAAATCAGAATTTCCACAAATAAGACAAAAAAGACCTTTAAGAACTGAATGTTTCTCTTTCAATGTCAGAGTCTATCCCGGCAAGCAATGGACCCAAGGCAGGGTACACCCTGGATGGGAAAGAAGGCTTGACAGCCGAAATGTTTTTTTCTCTCTTCTTTTTTTCCGCATGGAACAATCCTATTACTTGTTCCTGGATGGGAAATGTTATTTATGGAAATGGGAAATGATAATTGTGGAAATGTCAGTCCTTTACAGGGCACATACAGACACAAACACACACACACACACTCACACTAGGGCCAGTTTTCTCAGAAGCCAATTAACCTACCAGTATATCAGTGCACTGTGGGAGGAAACACATGTGAACACGGGGAGAAAATAAGACGTCCACACAGAGAGCAGCCCAGGACACTCCTATGCCCGTTTGTACAAGATTTAACCCCTTCCCACAATGTTTGCCATGGTTGAACTTTAACAGATACAGATGCAGCCATTCAAAACGAGTGGGGTATGCTGTGGTACAATGCGGTGAGCATATCTCATCAAAACACGTCATACCATATGCATATACCATATGCAAATTAGTTTATGTTAATAGTATCTGGAATCACCTTGTAAAACCGGCAGGTGGAGCTAATAAAGCTTAACCTCTCCTGTACAGCATTTGTGCTGTAACCAGAAAACGCCGGTTTTGAATCCTGATCATTGCTGAGGGACAATCTTTATTCAATTAAGAATTTAAGTTGTATACTCTTTAGACTTTTAAATGTAAACTGTGTATTACAGCATGTTAATCATCATACATTAAAAGGTGGTATATTTTATGAAAGGACAGAAGTACACAACCTACCTTTATCATAAATATTTTAATTATGCAGAAATATTTTATGCATCAAAGTCTTTGCCGAAGATATTACTAATAGTATTAATAATGAATGACCTTGGACGAGCTGAAAACTTAAAGTATTACCCTGGTCCACATTCTTTGTAACCGTCTTTGTAAACGAAAATACTTTATTTTTTCAATGACAAAAAGTAAACCACAGCATTTTGTTGCATTTACGTATTCGTTTCCAATCATACAAAGTAAAGTTTGAGAATCTCCAAATCACCATGCTTTTCACATGCTCATAAACAATATTAATTTAGGAACATAAACATATTATGTAAACTGTATATTGCCGATATTGGTAGTTTAAAAAAAAATACACACCAGTTTTCCATTTCTCACAAAACATTTTAAGCATCAAAGTCTTACATGTGGTTATTTCGGAAATCTTGACATTTTTTATATTTCTAAATATCACAACATGTTCATACTGTATGAACACAGCGGTACCACAGGGTGCAGGGCGCAAACCCACACGAGCCAGAAAGCGCTACATCATTAATACAGTAATATCTTCTATGTCACATTAACAAGTTTAAAAAGAGGAGAAACTTTAACTCTTCAGTTCAAAGAGAAATTTCACCAGATTGTCCAATAATTGTAATACTCACATAAAAACCACTCAGTAATCGCATATTTTACGTCTTTCCAGCTGCAGGTTTTAAAAACAAACAATGCCACAGAATTGAAAACCTTTCACTCAAGATGCATTACACAATAACTGTGAACTGGTAATTGACATGATTCTGACTAACTGGGAGTCATTTGTGGAATTTTTAGAAAACAGTTTTTAAGGCAGGGATTTGGAAGTCTGTCCGAGCTAGGGTTAGTGCAGGAAAGGTGTTGTTTTGCTGTTTCCTGGAAAAACCAATTTGACCCAATTTTGCCGTTTTTGCTAAGCCTGTCAAAAATGGTCGAAAATCAAAATTCTCAATCCACACTTTGTACATGCTAAACTTTCTTCTTTTCTGTCTTGAAAACTAGAGGAAAGAACAATTTTGGCCCAACCTTTCTGGTAATTGTAATGCTCACGTGAAAACCACTCGATAATGGCATGTTTGAAATGTCTTTCCAGCAGCAGTTTTGTCA